ATTTAATCTTGAAAAGTGTGAGGTGATGCATTTTTTTGCGGATTATCAAGGCATGGGAGTACATATTGAATGGTAAGATCCTAGGAAGTACAAAGGATCAGAAGGCCCTCAGAGTGCATGCCCATAGATCCTTGAAGGCAGCAGGATAGATACATAAGATGATTAAGAAGGCAGACAGAATACTTGCCTTTATTAGTCAATGCATTGAATTAAAGAACAAGAATGTTATTACGGAGCTGTAGACATTATTAGTTAGGCCACAGCTGGAGTCCTGTGGGCAGTGCTTGTTACTACACTGTAGGAAGGATATGATTGCACACAGAGGCTGCAGAGGAGATGCACCAGGATGTTGTCTGGGCTAGAGTGATTCCACTATGAAAAGAGACTAAAGAGGCTAAGATTTTCTGCATATAAAGCTACATTTTCCCAGCTACCATCCGTTCTGAGGAAGGATCACCGGACTCGAAACTTTAACTCTGATTTTTTTTTCTTCACAGATGCTGCCAGACTTGCTGAGCTTTTCCAGCAACTTCTGTTTTCGTTCCTGATTTACAGCATCTGCAGTTCTTTCCGTTTTTATGAGGCTGAGATTGTGTTCTTTAGAGTAGAGAAGGCTGAGGGGGACCTTATTAAAGTGTACAAGGTACAACCTGGACACAGCACACACTCTTGTGGAATTGTTACAATGTGGTTTGTAGCCCAAGTGTGTATTAGTTGCTGAAGTGCTCGAAGGTTTATAAGAACAGCTCATGAGCTGGTAGTCTCCATTCCAGTTCAGTACCTGGAGGCTTAGTGGATGTTTTCTTGTTAAGGTTATGCCTAAGCATTTCCAGCTAATTCAAATTGTTTTCAGAAGTCATTGTTCCATTACTATCAGCAAACACTACATAATGAGTCACTCTTCCATGGAAAGTAAGGGATGTGTAGTATCTCTCTGAGGCTTAAAGAGCACTTTTTCAATGTACTCCAGGCCTGCCTTATTCCAACTGCCTGCAGAAGAGGGAGTAATTAAACTAAAATCATTCACATGAAAGCCTCCTTTTATATATATCCATCTCAATATATCCTACAGCAATTTCAAGCACTCCAGAACATCATTGCAAAAATGCAATCCAGAAAGGCATTCAGTACGTTATTATATGCATTTAGAAAAAGTTAGGTTTGAATGCCACTGGGGAGATGTCTAATGTAGATATTAAATAGAGGCAGTAATTTCCTCATGTTAAAAGCAATAGACAATAATACAAAATAATGGAAAAAGCAATTTTCCTAAATGTCTAATGCTCCTCTTCCAGTTAAAAACTATTCTTCGTCAAAACTTTATCCTGCATTAAGTCCTATTCAAAGAGTTAGTGTACTTTGCAATGCCTGATGGTGACTGAATGTCATTTCAGTATTCTGGTATCATTTTGGGTTATTTATTGGTCTTGTCTCGAGTTGTGCAGTTGCAACTTGGGGAAATGTTGGTGTGGTGTTAATATCACTGGGCTAACAATTCTGTGGTCTATGGTCATAGGCCTGAGACGTGGGATCAAATCCCTCCAAGGTAGCTGGTGGAATTTATGTTAAATTAAAACCAATTGGAATTAAAAGTGAGTTTCAGTAGTGGTGACAATATAAATGTTATTGATTGTCATTAAAACCTATCTTGTTTATTAATATCCTTTACTGGAAGAAAATCTACCTTTTTTTAAATTGTATGTTTTGATACCACACCAGGAGTTTGTGTTCAAGATAGACTGCTTGAGGAGAAAGCAAAGTCAACAACTGTCTTCAGGCTTAATACAGTAAAATTATATAGAATCCCTACAGTGTGGAAGCAGGCCATTTGGCCCATTGCGTCCACACTGACCGTCCAAAGAACATCCCACCCAGACCCCCACCCTCACCCTATAATCCTGCATTTTCCATGGCTAATCTACCTGGACACCAAAGGCAATTTAGTGTGACCAATCCACCTAAACTGCACATCTTAGGGCGGTGGGAGGAAACGCACATGGACACGGGGAGAATGTGCAAACTCCACACAGACAGTCACCCGATGGCAGAATTTAACCCAGGTCCCCTGGTGCTGTGAGGCAGCAGTACTAACCACTGAGCCACTACGATTTATAATACATTAATACTAAATCTTGATATACATGGTAATCATAGTTATATCAGGCACTGATCTATCACATCAGGTAAGAACTAAGCAACCTTCATTGTCTTCATGCACACACGCTCTCAGCATGTCTTCTGGTGTGCTCCTTCAGGATAGTCCTGACTCCACTCACACTGTGCTGTTTATACTCAGTGAGGTACAACGCTGTCACATCATCACAGGGTTACTCCAAGTAAATGTACAATGCTATCCTTATCTGGCCTGAACTACATGTGATTGCACTGTAACGTGGTTGAATTTTAAATTCTCTCAAGGGACGGACAACAAACGTCTTTACAAATTACATCCATGTCATGAAGGGGAAGCAATGGCCTAGTGGTATTATCGCTGGACTACTAACCCAGATAATGTTCTGGGGTCCTGGGTTTGAATCCTGCCACAGCAGAGGCTGGAATTTGAATTCAATAAATATCTGGAATTAAGAATCTAATGATGACTGATTGTTGATGCATTAAAAAAAAATACCCTTTAGGGGAAGGAAATTGCCATCCTTACCTGGTCTCATCTACATGTGACTCCAGACCCACAGCAATGTGGTTGACTCTTAACTGCCCTCTAGGCAATTAGGGATGGGCAATAAATGGTGCCTAGCATGAATGAATAAGGGACATCAGATGAACAAATATTAAAAAAGCACATCATTGTACTGTATTTGTTTAAACAGTGATCAGTATATATCTAAGACTTATACTGCAAGAGAGCATGCTATGAACAATTACGCATCAGACATAAAATGCTGGAAATAATCCAGTAAATCAAGTGTTATAATCTTAGAATCTTTTAGATTCATAGAAACATATAGAGTCATACAGCACGGAAACAGGCCCTTCAGCCCAACCAGTCTATTCTATCATAATCCCAAACTAAACTAGTCCCACCTACCTGCACGTGATCCATATGGCTCTAAGCATTTCTTATTCATGTACTTATCTAAATGTCCTTTAAATGTTCTAACTGTACCCACATTCACCATTTTCTCTGGAAGTTCATTCCACACACGAACCACTCTCTGTGTAAAAAAATTGCCCCTCATGTCTTTTTAAAATCTTTTTTCTCTCACTTTCAAAATATGGCTCCTAGTCTCAATACCTTTTGGGTGCGGTGGTACTCAGCACTCTTAAAAGTCATGTGAAAGTCTTTATTTTACACAGTTAACTTGCTGAGTTTTATGCCCTCTTGTACAACTATATCATTTGTACCTTCCACATGCCCTGTTAAGTTTCTCTATCCTTTCTAAAAATGACCTCAGATGCACTGGACAAGATGAGACCTGAAGCAACTTGATAAGCTGTAACAAACATGAGGAACAGAGGTTATGATCAAACTCAGTTGATTCAAACAATCCAACTTATAATTGTGAATAAATATAAAATAAAGAAAATGCTGCACTTGCTCATATCAATGGGTCATGTTACTGAATTTAAATGAAGTAAGCCTCAATCATCCTGTAGCATTACTCACCACTTAATCTGAGGAAAAGCCCTTGCAGTTTTCTCTTTAAAAACCCAACTGACCTTAGAGCCTTTGCTGAATATCTTTTCCTGTGTGTCTGTCTATTATTAGTCTCTCTTACTTTATAGCCGAGACGGAAGAACTACCAAAAGCCTTCTGGTCAGTATTCAGGACCACAGACAATGGGTGTACAGTTTTTGACTGATCACTGAGATTATTTGTTGTTTATGTTTGTGTGGAAAATTAATCTCCAATTGTATATCATTCCAGTGCTCCTTGTTACCTTGTCAGAATGGGCACTACTTTGAGATGCAATTTTTAAAAAAAAACTCCTTTTTATCAACTTCACGATGGAAAATGTTCTTACAAGTGTTTCTACCAGAATATCTCATGGTGCGGTTTCGGTGAAATGCTTTAGAAGAATTTTTTTTGATAGAAATTATTGTTACTAGTATCTGCAAAAATACAGTAAAATGTGTAAGTGTCACCACAGAAACATAATTATATAAATTATATACAAAAAGAAAATGTGGAAGTTAAGACAAATATAATTTTTGTCCATTCCAAGGCCCCTTGGTTTTACGGACTGCCCACTTCTGAAGACCGATGGGCCTGTCCAATTGCTAAGGACTGGGGGCCTCTTGAAATTGCCAAAACAGGGAGACTGCCAAAATCACTGAGGACTGGGGGCCTGTTAAAACTGGCGAGGACCAGGGTCTGTTGAAACTCCTGAGGACAGGTGTCCATCGAAACCGCTGAGGACCGGGGTCTGTCGAAACTGCCGAGGACTGGGGCCTTTTTGGTGACTCTCTGTTAGTGCATTGTAGGCACAGTAGATTGGTCGCCAGAATGAGATCTTGTTGAGAAGAGTGGACAAAGTAATGGTGAAGCAGACTGTTTTGTGCCTGGATGGTGTTGACTTTCCTGAATGTTGTTGCAGCTTCATTATCTGGGGTGATGGAGCATATGTCAATCTAACTTATCCATTGTAGGCAGTAGAAGGGTTTTTTTCCCCCCATTCATGAAGTAAGCCACTCACTGCAGAATATCCAGAATAACCTTTGCTGGTAGCTGTGATATTTATTTGGCTCATTCAGTTTTTAGTTGGTCACTTCCATGCTCATGGTGGGGGATCCATTGAAAATATTGTCAGTATGTGTCAGGAAGAGGTGATTCAATTCTCTCCCTGGAGATAGCCATTGCTTAATGTTTGTGTGAAGCCAATGTTACTTTCCATTTATGAGTCCAAGTCTGGATACTCTGTATCAGCGACATAAGAATAGCAGAGAAGTTCCATGAGCAATGTTGCTACTTGGAGATTCAACGGGAGGACTGTTGAACAAAATGCTAGTGTCCTTCATGAAGCTGAGCATTCACACAAAACTTGCTTCGGCAGCACATTTATGAAAATTGGAACAATACAGAGAAGATTAGCATGGTCTCTGCGCAGGGATGACACACAAGTTTGTGAAGCTTTCCATATTTAGGGCCCCGTTATGGTGCAGTGATATGTCCCTAGCCTGGACTGGGGACCTGGTTCAAGTCCCATCTGCTCCAAAGTTGTGCAATAACATCCCTGAACAGGTTGATCAGGAAAAATATGTTAAATTAGAGAAAAAAACTATCCCAAAATCAACTTTGACAGACTGGACAGTGTGTCCAGATGGAAGAAACTGTCTTCCGCACCATGTCCCTTCTTTTTTAACCCTCTATGGCGAACATTCCAGAGGAGGACAAAGAATACAAGTGCTAGCTCAGTGGTTAGCAATGCTGCCTCACAGCACCAGGGACCCAGGTTCAGTTCCAACCTCAGGTGATTGCCAGTGTGGAATTTGCACATTCTCCCCGTGTCTGCCTGTGTTTCCTCCGGGTGCTCCGGTTTTCTCCCACAGTCCAATGATGTGCAGCTTAGGTGGAATGGTCATGCTAATTTGCCCCATAGTGTCCAGGGATGTGCAGGCTAGCTGGGTTAACAATGGGAAATACAGGGTTACAGGGATAGGGTAGGGGGATGGGTCTAGGTGTGATGCTGTTCAGAGGGTCGGTGAGGACTCGATGGGCCAAACAGCTGGCTTCCACAATGTAAGGATTCTATGAGTACACTTGCAAAACACTATGAAGCTCTCCTTGAAAAGGAACAGCACTGACATTAATGACTGGAAGAAGCTCGCTGTCAGTCCTTTAAAATAACATCAACTCCTTCATCGAGCTGCATCCCACTTTGAGTTCAAGCACCTTAACAATGAGGCAACAATTGAATGGAAATGAGCAACTTCTGAACTCAGGATCTCGCAATGTTGTGGGACCTCCTGCCTCTCATGCTCAAAGAGTTGGAGTTGAGAATCTGTTCAGTCACATGAAGACCTATGGTGGAAACCTGGGGAGATGTTGTCCTTGAATTGAGGGAATGCTATTGGATGGATATTGCCTAGATTTTGTTGCATTTGAGAATGTGCAGACTGGAAACAAGTTGATAGCAAAAAACTGTTCAAATGTATTTTAAATATATTTGTCATGAAGGACAAACTATCTCTGAAATCTCCCCTCCCCCTACCGCATCCCAAAACTAGCCCGGCTCATCCCACCTCCCTAACCTGTTCTTCCTCCCACCTATCCCCTCCTCCCACCTCAAGCCGCACCCCCATCTCCTACCTACTAACCTCATCCCACCCCCTTGACCTGTCCGTCCTCCCTGGACTGACCTATCCCCTCCCTAACTCCCCACCTACACTCACCTTTACTGGCTCCATCCCCGCCTCTTCGACCTGTTTGTTTCCTCTCCACCTATCCTCTCCTCAATCCATCTTGTATCCGCCTCCCCCTCTCTCCCTATTTACTTCAGAACCCCCTTCCCCTCCCCCATTTCTGATGAAGGGTCTAGGCCCGAAACGTCAGCCTTTCTGCTCCTATGATGCTGCTTAGCCTGCTGTGTTCATCCAGCTCTGCACCTTGTTGTCTCTGAAATAAGAATAACTACTTTATACTGCTCTGACAGTTCAGAATTGACAACGGCCTGAGAACAGTACACAGGTCCTAGTCTGCAAGCCTAAGCATGAAACCACCTTGATGCACATTCCTTGAAGTGGCGGTTGGAGTATGTTTGAGTATTACATGGTATAAAATAAATCCTTTCATCTTCTTTCATTGAAGAAAACTGTTGGCAATTCAACTGCTGCCTGACTTGAATGCATTAGTTCCACATTCACTGTAAGTTACAGACCAGCATTTATTGAGCACTGTAAAATATAATATTTCAGACAAAAAGCTCCATGTACAAGGGTCTTCAAACAAAACTATGGAATTCTTCTGCCTCAACAAGTTGTTGCAGTTTTGGTTTAATGTCTTGAAAACAGAAACTACTTCAGTACTGAGGTGAAGAAAGTCCCCATTGTCATGTTCCACAGCAAAGAGGAAACTTTGGTGATCCCAAGTCCATGTTCTTAGAGACCTGAGCTCATAGAATCAGATTGCCATAAACTGGCAATGATTTGTTAGCCTCACTGAGCTAGTATCCAGAAGAATCACTGGATATCCCACAGCCTTTTACAGCTAATAAATGACATTTAAAATGTAGTCATTGGTGTATTGTAGAAAAGTAGGAAAACACTTTGAGTCCCTTTTCTGTGGTTCTGAATGAGACATGTTGTCGAGACGGATGAGGTCAGTGGCTAATTTGAGTCTTACTACCCAGAAATGAAATAATGGAGAAACCTCAGTTCCTGCAGCTCTGAGATAAAGAAGTGAAAGAGAAGCTAAACACACATTTCTTAAAGCAAAGATAAAAAGCTTTTCTGAGATTTCTCCATCATGGTGAGATTTGATCTGCAGCCACACAATGAAAGGAGAACCTGAGTGAAATTCATACATTGCATTGGAGAAAGTAGATGACTGGAACATTTCATGTGGACTGAACAGACTGCTTATAATTATGTGTTCATGCGCTTGTGATCATCAATGTACTTGTTTACTGTGAAGAAAATAAAATTGCTTTGATTCAAATCTATTGCCAATGTACATATTGAGCATTTTATACCATGCAATCTGCCTTAAGGTTCTTCTAATCTCTACATTTGCAACAATAAAAGGTCTTGCAAAATTTGGACAAAAATCTTTGTAGTACTACAGTTGCAGAATAAGAAGGCACTTCCTTGACCCACAAGACAAGGTTAAAATGTAATTAGATTGTGTTTTATCTTCTGTACGTTGTCCAATAGGACATGATTGTTTAAGGGATAATTTAGAGAAGATATAAAACACTAGCAATGTGAATCAGAGCTTTCTAAAACAGTGTATGGGTCATGTCAATCCGTGCAATGTCTGTATGTTATTGGTGCATACAGATTATAGTTAGCCTATTTTTTGGTGATGTTCATATGAGGGAATACACACAATGTGGGTTCAACTGAACGGGATGGGAATGAAGGGGAAGGAGGGAGGGGTTGTCAGCGGTAAGTCAATAGTTGGCATATGGCGAAGGATGAAATTATTAGTAGGTAAGAGGAAATGGGACAGCGAGAGGCAACAGGGAGAACCGATACAATAAAGTGAAAAAGAATAGCTTAGCTATGCAATAGGCTTGAGGAGATACTTGGAACCACAATGTTGGGGATTTGAGTGGGGAATTTGGATAAAACAGATCGGGTGTGGTGGGGAGGGTCTGAAGAGAGCTGTCAACCTGGTTAAGCTGCATGTTTCTCACACAATCACCACTTCCATTGCTAACAAGTGACTTGCAAATTGCAATGCCTCCTTGCCTTGCTATCTACCATCTGTCCTCCGAAAGAAGAGTCAAGGAATGACGAGAGAAGAAGAAGCAGAAGAGCACAGAAAGAGAGAGAAAGATGCACAGAATTAGAAAGAGACTGAAGTAGAAGATGCAACAGATGCATGAAAAAGTGCAACATGAGCCAGAGACAGAGAGATATGGAAAAACCTGTAAATTGGTTCTACTCAGGCGATAGCACAAGAGAGCTCAAGGACCTACTCCTAAGACTCGATAAAAAGTGAAGCTGCCATAGTCCCACTCTTTCATTAGAGAGAGATGTGGTGGTGGTTTAACCTGAGGGTCACCATGCATCAGGTGAAGGGACAGGTTGAGAGGAGAATCTTTCATGGTAACCTCAGCTGGTACAGGAACTGAACCCACACTTTGATGTCATTCTGTCTAACAAACCTGTTATCCAGCCAACTGATCCCTAGGACATTGAGACTAGCAAGCTATCGCCTCCTGAGCACCCCTCAGTAGCTCATTGGTGAAGAAGATCTGACACAGACACAGCACCATGACCCAATTTAACCAGTAAAATAAATTATTTTTGGTAGAATGTACATTCCCTGTAAGTATAGCACTTATTTCCTGTAACTGTTTTCCCCATTATATTTTGCTGATAACACCGTGTTGCTATATAACAGTATTCCCACTGACTCATAGCTAGGCAACATACTATAGGCAATCTCCTAAATATATAATGTGTAGCATTTCCATTGAGAATGATCTGTACACACAATTGGGAATTACTTTGAAGATATTGCAGACTTGTTATTCTTTCCAACTCCTCAATAAATGATGTAGATACCAAATCTATTCTATGCTAATCTAATGGTGGAATCGGGAATCAGCAGTTGTCTGGGCATCATTCCCTGCGGATACCAGGATATCTGTAGAAAGGGTTGCTGGATAATGAATCTGCTAAGAATAAGGAATACATTTGCATCTATTGCTAGAATAAATTTAACAGCAAAATGCCATAAGACAGAAGAGCAGAAGTAGGCCATTCAACCCATCAAATCCGCTCTGCCATTCGGTGAGATCATGGCTGATCTGTTAAGTCTCAACTTCAGTTTCCTGCCTTTTCTCCATAACCCTCGATTCCTTTCCTGGTTGAAAATCTGTCTATCTCATCCTTGAATATACATAATGACCCTGCTTCAACAGCCCTCTGTGGTAAAGAAATCCACAGATTCACAACCCTCAGAGAAAAAATACTTCTTCATCTCTGTTTTAAATGTGCAACCCTTTATTCTGAGATTATGACCTCTGGTCCTAGACTTTCCAGAAGGAGAAACAACCTTGCACTTCATTACTTTTGTATTGTCGTGTTAATTTCAGTATACATCTTGTAAAAGTGTACGTTTGTATGAATCTCAGTCTGGCAACCTCTTGAATCTATCTCACCTTTCTTTCAAAATTCTTCACCAAAATTCTTCTGTTTATGTGGCTAACATGGTATAACATCATAGTTACAGCACAAGGAGTGTCAAGAGAGGAAGAAGCAGAAGAACACAGAAACAGAGAGAAAGATGCACAGAATTGGAAAGAGACTGAAGTAGAAGATGCAACAGATGCATGAAAAAGTGCAACATGAGCCAGAGACAGAGAGATATGGAAAAACCTATAAATTGGTTCTACTCAGGCGATAGCACAAGAGAGCTCAAGGACCTATTCCTAAGACTCGATAAAAAGTGAAGCTGCCATAGTCCCACTCTT